AACAGCTCAGCCAGACAGATTCTGTGATCAGGAAGGCAGATGTAGACCAATAGCCGGCAGATGCCTTCCCCAGCAAAAATCTAGTCCAAAGTCTAAGGCAGCCCCTTAAGAATCCCTTCTTTTTCCTGTCTACTCAAAGTGGGAAAGCCCCATAATTATATTTCAACAGGACCAAGAAATCTAAGTCAGATGAAAGGTTACTTCCCAAACCCAGTACAACCCACTGGGTTGCAGTGGGTAAGGCCTCCTGCTCATGCCATAGTCCCATCATCTGGGCTTGCTCTATCTGCTTTCTGTGTCCAGGATAGACCTAGGTATGGCCTTTCCAGTTTTTCTACACATCACTCTAACTCTGGCTATCCTAGGGCCTACTGGCCATTCTCATAAACTTCTTCCACATCAAGCCTTCCCCTGGACAGGAATCTACTTTCTTGGTTAGTATATGCTCGAAGAAAGTACTAGCAACATGGGATTTAGGCATAAACTCACACTGAAGATTAAGCAAAGAGGTGAGAGTGTCCCTGAAGACTTGCAGGGCCAGTACTGCCACTCTGAACACATTTACCCAGACACAGGTCTCATCTGTGAGCAACATAATCATACTTCCCTCTCTGAATCACAAGTGTGAAACCCTAGGGGGTACAGGGCGTTGGTGGCACATGCCTTTAATCCCAGCACTCGGGAAACAGGGGCAGGCGGATCTCTGTGAGTTCGAGGCCAGCCTGGTCTCCAGAGCAAGTGCCAGGATAGGCTCCAAAGCTACACAGAGAAACCCTGTCTTGAAAAACCAAAAAAGAAAAAAAAAAAAAAAGAAACCCTAGGGGGCATACCGGACCAACATCACCAATCAAACCCATGAAAACAGCCAGCTCCACACTATAAAATCTCAGGTTTTGCATTAAAAATGAGACCTATAGTTCCTTGAGAAAGTAATGGTGGCTGGAGGAGAGAAAAGTATGAAGGTAAGAAGCCCCTATCTTGAAAACACACAGACATCAGTATAAGTACCTGTCAGCAACCGAGTCTGGCTAAGTTGTCACCAACTATTACTGCAGGAACAAAGGAACATTGGGTCAGAAGAGAAAATAGCAAGGCAAATAGGGATGGAAAAGAAAAAGTGGCAAACACATGGACAGTTGGGTACTTCTTGTTCAAGGCCAAGAAGACAGAAAGAAATGGTGGCCAGGATCAGAAACTCTCCAGGGTCAATTGAAGCCAGGGAGAGTTTGCCCAAAGAAACTTCTTGTTATAAACAGGCAAGGCTAACCCTACATCTGCATTCAGCTGCAGAAGCCCCCTCCCCCAAGCTGAAGAGCAGATGCTGCTGGAACTCCCCATTCTGCTCAAGGAGCACAGTTTTGAAAACAAATCAGTTTTGGAATTAATGCCTCACTCAGTACAGCTTAGTTACAACTACCATCTAACACATTACAGGGACACTCCTAGGCCAATGTGCCAACAGGCCCCCATCCTTTAATAAGGGGAGGATGCCCATCAGGTAAACAACACAACCCCTCAACCCAAGGGTACAAGGCCCTTACCCTCACCCCACGGGACAAGGGCCAAATGAGACTTCTTTACTAACAAACTCTCAAAGAGGCTCCGATAACTTAGCATTGAGATTCTGAGACCTTCCCCAGACCCTCTAAGCCTCCTCCATCAATCCAACCAGGATGTAAGAGTTTCACGGAAAAAAGAGGAAATTTAAAATGTAAATACCATCATGGGTTGGGAAGAACAGCCAGGGGAAACTTCAGATACAACTTAATTAGGAAAGCTTGGGTAGAGCTGAACAGGTGGAGAAGAAAAAGAAGGTTGAGACATGGGGACCAAGACAGTCCGAGAGGATCTTTCCTGAACAATGGGAGGGAGTAGGACTGGGGGTCGCACGGTAATGTGGGGGCCCGAACTGCACGGCCCTAACACTACAGGTGGGTGTGTGTGCGGGACTCAAACGCCAACAGAGGGCAAGCCTTAAGAGCGAAGGTTCAGAGAAGAGCACAGCATTAGACTAGTAGGGACTTAAGGCTGTGTGGTCGAAGAGCCAAGGGGAGGTTAAGAGGAGTCCCTGAGAAGGAGCTGAGAGCTGTGCCACCTTTGCGGGGATCTCGGTCCACACCGGCAAGTGAGGTAACCTTAATTTGCGATGGCAAGGTGGGAGGGGACAGCTTTAGGCTGGCATCTGGTAAGAGACAGGTCTAAGGTGAGGAGGGGCAGGGTCACTCCTGGCCAAAAGCTGCAGCGATAAACGGAGGAGTATGAGGAACCGGGACTCCTTTCTAGTCTGCGAACGCCCAGCACGGCCTCGCGGGAGAGGGAGGCACCGCAGCCCTAGGGCCGGGTCCTCAGGCCGGAACTCTACCGGCAGTAGGGTCCCTGGGGTGGGGCTGGGCCCGAGGCTTGCGACACGGGGTCGAGGAGGGGCTGGGGTCCCGGACTCACGCATTAATGTGCTGAAGGCCACGACGCCGAGCAGCCCCTGCAGGAAGATGCCGAAACTGTGCATGAGCGCGCCGCTT